AACTCTTTATCATAGATTAAAGGTTTGTTGTTGTTTTTTCAGTATGTGAACATGTGAGAGAAACTCCAAAATGAACGTCTGGCCAGCAATTACCCATAATACTGTTATAGGCCTTTTCTTTTTAATAGAAGCAACTGTTAGAGAAACACATACCTTTGACATACTGCAGAAATTTACTTTGTCACGATTGGAAACATTACTAATTAATGTGTTATTCCACACTGGCCACCCAGCGGTATGTCTGCGGAGTTACAACGCTAGAAACCGGGTTTCGGTACCCGTGGTGGGCAGAGCACAGATAGCCTGTTGTGTAGCTTTGTGCTTAATTTCCAACAAATAAACAAACCTTCCGCACTGTTATGAATGATGATGAATTTTGCCAACGTACCCAAGAAACCTTCACAAAGGTTATTATTGCAATGTTGCAAAACACTGGGCACTTTTATTCATTTATCAACAATGAGAAATATTAATTGTACACTTTGAAAGTATTCCATATAAATTTTGATGTCACGCTGAAAATATATCAAGTTTTAGTGGTCTTTATTTCTAAAGCTTCGTTTTCGCTTTATGGTCTTTAATTTGGTCACTAAATATTCCACGATTTGAACACGATAACACAGTCTCTGGTGTTTATCATTTTGAACAATAATTTAAATAAATTCCGATGAGGGCGTATCTGAATGATATGCGCGACCACCAGAAATATTTTTTAAAGCGACTCAGAGCTAAGTTTGAAAGTATATAATGTTAAAATAAAATAGAAATCGGGTTTTTATACCAACAGTGAGCAGAGTACAGAAATCTATTGCACAGCTATGCACTTAAGAACAAGACAACAACTGAAGTATGCTGAAATATTTCAATGGGTTTGTTAGCTAACCAACGAGGTTAGCTGTATAAATCAGAAAAGTTAATTGAGAGGGAACGTATTACTGCCAGGCCTAACAGTAATGTAACAAAACAGTTTTACAGGGGGATGTCCTTTGGTCATACACCATACTATCGACACTAATTTGATGGATTGAAACTTATAAAACGTCGGATAACCTGCCATGTTGGGGGAGTCGAGTACTAAGTGACAATCCCAGTGGTTGCGCTGGCCCCTGACGTGAAGACCGGCAGCCCCGCAGGAGGTAGAGGAAAGTTCCTTTGCTTACGTTAGTTGTTACCTTACCAGTGGCCTTCTGTTCTGTTGAATCTTTATATTTTGCTTCTCCTAGCTATACGGTACTCTATTTCCCGCCTCCAGTAGTCCGATTTTTTCTATTCACCATAATGTTTATGTAAGAATTATAATTCATAGTACGAGTTTATATGTTTGAACACGACACTATATCTCACATAATTTCTTAGATCATTAAGATATCATTTATTTATAAATTTAAGGACGTAATTTTTTAATAATTTTAAAAACATTGGTTTAAACATAAGTAGGCCTAAATATATCATATATTTTGTATTACTGTCAGTCCACAGACAGTATAGGTAACTTATTTTGGCTTTGTCTTGCATCTCAGAAAGCCCCCATTAAATAGGAGGTCTTTTAAGTTTCTAAATATAATTTGTTCAACTGAAGATGCAGAAAGTGAAACAAATGAGGAAGCGTCCCAAAATTTAGTTTTTGTTCTTAATAATATCTTATGAGTTTCTAAGTGTGTACCATTCAATCTACTTTCCTTTATTACCAGACCTACCTCTCACGTCTGCAGACATATATGATAAAGTCAGAAAGCTGTGTTTTTAAATAAAAATCCTAATATTTATTTATCTAATATTTCATCTTCAAACACAAAACACTCAGTATGCTTTTCTCCAACGTGATGTAGCATAGTTATTTACATAATGCTTTGAATGGCTAGCCTAAAGACACTTTGAAGTCATTGTGATTAGAAATTGGAGCTTCCTTAACGTGGCTTTTATCACATTATTCACAATCTTTTGCAAGCCTCAAGGGTTTTCGTTTTTTCAATTAGACTCCTTTTATTTTGTAAGAAAATAAACACTTGAAAACTATAAACCAAACTCAGAAATTTAAGGATATCTGCCAGTGATACAAGTTCTTGGCTGTTCTCTTTAGGAGCTAATTTAACGTTTTTGTTTTATCAGGCAGAGACGGGTGTTATCATAGTCCATAAGTCAGAATTACATATCAAGCATCCAGAGGTTCTTCAAATCAAGGCTAAACTGATTTTGCTAATTATACTTGCTCGACTTTGACATTACCCAAGTTTTAACATGTTTATGTGTATCCAGTATATATTCAAATAACAGCAATATTTTAGATAATTGTTTTTCTTTTCTGTTTAGAACTAGTGCATAATCTTCCAATATCTGAGATCCTGTTTTGGATTTTCTTTTTAAGACTACCTTGATTTCAAATTGATATTTGATTGATGCAGTCAACTACATTACTTACCTCCAGCATCTTTTTAAATGGTAGCCTAAATAACATTTAGTTATTTTCAAAGTCCCAAATTCCCTCCCCACCTGTACTTTTTAAAACAACAGAACAATTGTTTCCAAACTTTTTTCACTGATGACGTCCTACCCCCACTTACCTTGATTTGTGTGACAACTTTGCTGCCATATCCAGTATTTTTGTTTATGTTCTTAAACACCTCTAGCAACTTGCCTCAACATACAGTTTGGAAACCACTACAATAGAAATTTCATCTCTGAAATCTAATTTGGTGGTAGGGGATGAATAAGAGTTCACAGAGGAAATGACTAATTTTCAAATATCCGAAGAGTTCATGGACTGACAGATTAGGCTGTTGTATGCTCTTGTTCAAGAAAATTTCATTGCAACATCTTATCAGTTATGATTTCTCTTTAGGTTAAGTTAAAAAGCCTGTGGTTTTGTAATATTAGAGTTACTCTTAAACTTTGAAAAGTTAAAACATCCAGAATGTATATATCATGGCCCAAGAACCTGGCTAGGTAATAGAAGTTCTTAAGACATAAACCACAATGCCTTTTACACATTATATACAAATAAACCAGTTTATAAATAACAAATAAATATTTACTTGTAGTTGAAGTTAAAATATAGATCACTGAAAATAACATTGACACAGTGCAGCTTTGAGAAATATCTAAAACACAAGAGCAAGCTTTCTTTAATTAGATTGGACAGCTGACTAAATTATGCGAACTGCTTTTACTTGAAAAGTAACTTAGACATAAAAAAGCATTGTGGTATGCATTATGTTCAAATCAGTTTAACTTTTTATTAACAATGAAATGACTTTACTAATTGGTGTTTCATTTGCACTCTGTCTGAACCCTCTCCAAACCAAAAGTCAAAAGAGTAAATGTAGCATGCTTGCTGTGTTCATCAAATTCAGAAGTAAACATCTGTTGTCAAAAATAGCTTAATATTTATTTCTTTTCTCCTATAGATGAATCAATCATGATACACAACAATCCCATCTCTCTCACACACAGATCCACAAACCAAAAGTCAACAGAGTAAAACATGCTTGCTGTGTTCATCAAATTCAGAAGTAAACATCTGTTGTCAAAAATAGCTTAATATTTATTTCTTTTCTCCTATAGATGAATCAATCATGATACACGACAATCCCATCTCTCACACACAGATCCCCAGAGGTTAATTCACTGGAAAGGGTAATATTATAAACCAATGAGATGGCACAAACCATCCTTAGTGAATAAGTGCAAGTTTCAAGTGAAATTCTAAACACTGTCATAGTGAGTTTCATACAGATGAATTATTTAAGTAAAGAAAATATATAAAATTTTAATTTTCTCCTTTTAAGTAGAAGATTAAAACTTGGTTTGGTAGCTACACTATTGAGATTATCTACATAAATTAATAATATAGACACGTGAATCTAGTGTACATTATTTCCATGAGATAATAAAGATATTAAAATTATTCTCAAAACAGTTTGGGATTACCCATGTGTAACATAGAAATCTATACAAACTCAAATTTTTTACCATTTGGTTAAAGTACAACTTCAACCCTTTCATTGCGGCTAGGATGTTTCCCCATTCTCATTCAAAATTTCCAGTGTGACATACGGGAGTAAAATGAGTTGTAAAGTATTTATTGTCATCCCACCTAATGTTGATATATGGTTTCCCTCAATGTTTTTCACTCAGCCCTTCCGTAACCAACAAGATGTCTAAATGAAATGTACGACAAGTGCGTGCATCGCTAGAGTGGCGAGTAGTAACCCTAATTACTATGTAAATATGCTTGACTCAGATGGTTTAGAAAATAGTGAAAGTGAGTCAAGTGGTGTTCAAATGGGTGATGATGAGACAAGAGGATGCAAGCTCTCCATCAAGTGATAATAGTGAAAATGATGAACCTTGACTCAGCAGAGGAAGGCGTAAACAGAGTCGACAATGGGAAACATTCGTCCCAGCTGCAGTGAATGGGTTAAAGAAACAAAAATGTCAAAATATTAATCTTTTAATCAAATCCAATATCTGAACTTGGTAAAAGGGGAAAAACAAAAATCAGAAAATGATGTGAAACTAAACATTACACGCAAGTTTAAAACTAAGGTTTCATTCTATTCAAAGCATGGAAGTAACTTCAGTGACAGCTTGTAAGATAATGTATAAAGTTTTGACATCTACCACACATTATTTGCTACAACTACCAATTACTTGTATTTAGTTAGAAAGTAATAAGTGGCTGCTAATTATGAATGGAAATTTCTAGCTTGAATGGCATCCTTTTGTGCACATGAGCTGAAATGGCCAGATCAAAAACCTCCAGAGTTATTTTGAACTATTAAATAAAGGGATAAGTCAGAAGAAGCCACCACTACAAGGATTTGTTTGGTTCTTTGAACCAAATAATTGCATTGATTGTCATTTTTACTCATGGAGCGTGTTCAACAGTATCACATCTAAAACCTTAGCCCGACATACTGACCAATGGACTAGATGATTTTGAACTTAACCTAGAAAAGTCATAATGATTATGAATTTGTGTGACAAAGTTTACACTGTAATTACTGAAAACAATATTTTATTTCAAAATACAATAATATTTTACAAGAACACACACACACAGGTGTTATATTACTACATTAAATCAATAACTTCAACCCTTTTCTGACCAAATATCTTAAATATACAGTGTTGAATATATATTAAAACAATTTTGAATATACAAGCCACAGTGGAATATAATGTATCAGAACTAAATTTTTTTTACATTGTTTGATGTTTCACAGATAATACGAAGCCACTGAAAATTGATTACTTTTATAAAAACTTTATAATAAACTAGACCCGTTTACAAATTTTATTACATGCTTAAGGTTATTTCAGAATTAACAATTATTATAATCTATTTGTAATCATAAGAATCAAAACATCATCATTTGAAAGATTACAAATTATTTACAATTTTTACTTTAGTAAAGTATGGGAATGACAGAATTCATTAGTACATGTAAATATATTCTGTGACTCTAGGATGTCACATACTAGATTAATAAAAGATCTTTATATTTTAATAAGAAACAACATGATCTTTACAGTGTTTTGTTATCTAAGAGAAACTTAAAATACTCCATGCCATTATTCAGTTACAGACTGTGTAGCCAAAGTTTGCCTATCTGAAATAAAAGATGCAAGCTTTCATAAGATCACATACACACAAATCAATTTCATGCACTTACACTTAAAACGGGAACATGATTTTAATATTTGAATACAAATACGTGTGACAAGTAAGCAGTGAAAAATATTCAACATAGAACTTCATCCTCTGTTTATTAATAAACATAGAAATGAAGCACAACTTGAAAAATAACAGCAAACATAATAAAATAATTTTAATAGTACATTTACAGTTACAATAACTGCAATTACTTTTAAAATACAAATGCAGTCTTTTTTAAAAGCATAGTCTACTTGTCTCCCAAATGAGTTACAATGTTAACACTTTTAGGCTGTGTATCTCAAATATTCAGTATTGTTTCCTACACCAAGCTGACTGAGTTGGATATGATACATTCTAGTTTATATTAAAAGTACCAGATCCTTGTTGAAAGGTTGGTGGATACTGTTTGGAGAAGAGTGGTCAACTTGTCAGTCAAACATCAAGTTGTAGTGTTTCCACCTTTAGATTAAAAAAAAGCCCATACTAAACAGGTTCTGGTTAAAATTAAGTCCTGATTTTGATCTGAACTTTAAGCCTAAACAATGCTTGTAAAACACACAAACTGTTTTTATGTTCCAATTGTTATCTAGTTACCCTTAACAGTTTTATCAGTAGATATTCCTTGAAACAGTTTTGCGATATCCAGAATACAGTATGCTATAAAAACAAAAGGTTTCATTGTCTTAAAACTAATTTCTCCACATTAAAGTTGTAACAGTCATGAATCCAAGGTTTGCTGTTGTCATACTTCTTGAGGTTTTCAATAGATTGAAGGACTTGCCACAAAATGTTGTTAACTTCATCCTTCCTGTCCAACTTTTCATTGATTATAAATGGAACACCTTCCAGTGAGACTGGTTCACTGATACTGTTTAACTGTAGACTTTCATATTCCGAGGAGGATGACTGGATTAAAGTGAAAGAATTAAAAGTATTATTACAGAAACTGCTTTTAACATTCTTTTTAACCAATTTTGTTATTGTAGACAGTTAATAAAAGATTTATAAATGAATATAAACAATTATTTTAGTAGAGTTACTGGTATATATTTAACCTCTAACCACTAAAAAAAAAAACACTTTTTTTTCTAATTTTACAAAAAAAACACAATAAACAGTACTGTTAATACTTAATAGTTTACTTTTTATATGATAGGTCATTTTATACAAAAAACTCCTATTTAGTTGATTTCACTAAACAGAAGAAAAGGGCAGTGGGAACATTCTTACCCCAATCATATGCGTTACTAACCGGATGAACAGGCATTTTATTATTTTAAGATCGACATTTAACTAAACATTATAATTTTTTTTTATCAATCCAAAAAGAATCAAGAGACTTGTTCACATAGCCCCACACAATATTAGATACCTGAATAGAATAAACCTTATTTTTTTTAACTCTCCAGCAAAATCAAACAAACAACTTTCATGGCCTTTTTTTGTAACTTGGATTAACATTCTTGAAAATTTGGTTAGTCATATTGTTGGTCTGAGAGGTTGTGAAGTAACAATTTCTATTTTATTTCTTGTTATGATATAGGTTATCGATTATCTATTTTTCCTACCATTTGTGCAGCTATATTTTTTATTTACTATAGATGATAGCACATCAGTCTCCTCGTGTAGATTATATATTGAACGAGTGATTTTTATATATTACCCCCAACACGAGGTTTCCCTAACGGTGACTTATGGATACAAAGTTCATAGTTAAATATGTAAAACAAGTGAAAATTTGTTAATCATAAGACACGTAATCTCATGGTCTTCTAACCCAAAGTTAGACTGACAAGAGAAATTAGGCTATGAAACTGTGATAAATATTTGACTTGCTAAAAGATATTATTTCAAGTACATCTTTAATTGTGACTGTGCACCAAGTATATCTTTAATTGTTACTTGTTCATGTGTACCAAGTATATCTTTAATTGTGACTTGTTCATGTACCAAGTATATCTTTAATTGTGACTTGTTCATGTGCACCAAGTATATCTTTAATTGTGACTTGTTCATGTGTACCAAGTATATCTTTAATTGTGACTTGTTCATGTGTACCAAGTATATCTTTAATTGTGACTTGTTCATGTGTACCAAGTATATCTTTAACTGTTACTTGTTCATGTGTACCAAGTATATCTTTAACTGTTACTTGTTCATGTGTACCAAGTATATCTGTAATTGTGACTTGTTCATGTGTATTTGTGAATAATTTTACACATTAGGGTTATATTTTTCTGGTTCTTTTTTCTTGATTTATTGTTATTATTATTAATGCTGTCATTATTTTCATTGGGTTATTATTAAGAATGTTGCTTTTTTGTGCTTGAGTTTGACTTAGACTTATTTCTTTACAAAGTCACATTTTGTAAAGCTTGTAATGTGTTTAATAAAATATAATTTTTTGTACCCTGGTAGTAATGCGATAAAGAACATCCACAGAGTAAGCTTTAATTAAAGAATTAACAAGAAGTTGATTAGACAAGTGTACCTTCCTAATTCTAACATCATTTTTCAAAAGAATTCTTGTAACTTTCTTCAAACCTTTAACTAGAAAACATTTAGGAACCTTTCACACAACTTCTCCACCAACACCTGATAAATAACTCACCAATCATCCATATACACAATTATTTTACATCTGAGAATGAATTACAAAACAATGGACCAGCTCTCACCAACCTGTACCCGTAGGGCCCCACTGGGGAGTGACACAGGGAGGGTCAGTGTTCAGATCTGACCACCTATGTCTTCCCTGTGCATTGAATAGGTTTGTCAGGTAGTCTAATAATGAAAGCAAAACCACGTTTATCATTCTCTCAATAAAACTTGAAATGTACTCCTCTTTACCATTAAATAAATAAAAGTAATAACATTTTCATCCATAGAAATATTAAATGTTTTTCTTTCTTCAATTTATAACTGTTGATGTTCCACCTCTTCTACTTTCATATAAAAATATTTGGACAAATACTATCTACATATGATAATTAACAACTCTGTTCTATTTTTCTTTATACATAAACCTAATAGTATCTATTTTTTCACTTACAAAATTAAATACTTGGGAAATACTCTTATTTGATTATTATGCCTTTTCTGTCCTGGTTCATATATCTCTTTTAGCATGGGCTCGGTCCCTGGGACTGATCTCATAACCATTTTGTGCTTGTTATAGTTTTCATGCTATAACTTTTAAATTAGTAAGCAAATTTAACGAAATTTGGCAGTAAACATTACAACGCTTTCATACGGTTCGTTAAGCAATCTTTTTCTCATGCCTTTTTTCTTTTCACATGTTGCCCATCCAACATG